ATTTTTGTGTGAGATTGACGGTCACCCTTGAAAACTGTAAATTACACCTAGAAAAGCAACGCGACCATATCATTTTTTTTATAAAAAATGTTAACACAATAAATATTCTTTATTTTAAAAAAGGTTTTATAATAAAAATCAACTCAATAAAATCAGTACAGCAAGAAACATTACTATTGTCGGCAATGGAAAAATCAATTGTTTTTTACATTCTATATTGGGATGAAATTTACCTTACTTTCATTTTGGAAAAGCAAGTTGCTGAATCAGACTTCTTTTAAAACGTTTTTGTGATTGTGTCAGCATCATGGAGGACTTTCATAAAGATTTAGAGGAGAGATTTCTAAAAAAATCAAAACAAATGGGCAATATTCATGGTTGTGTAGCATGGGACGGCTATGTTGATAAATTAGGATACGGTGTCATGAATGTAAACTGGCCAAGGGAGGGTGCAAAAAAAGAAAGAGCACACAGACTAGCATATATGATTAAGGAAAGAATAAGCCACAATGATATGCCAAGACTTGATGAAAACAACAACCGCATAGAATGTAGTCACTTGTGCCATAATAAGACCTGTGTCAATTCAGAGCATATTAAACTTGAGTCCCATGCTACAAACCAGGAACGTATTCATTGTAAAGGGCAAAATTTATGTGCAAAATGTCATGAACCACATTGTCTTATATGAAAGTATGCTTTATTTACAAATTAACACTTTTTTGTCACTGCAACTCGTTGTTTTTTGGCATAGGGATGGTCCTCGGCTTGCGTTTTTGTACGTTTCACTGGCCTCATATTAAAGCTTGTTTTTCTCGTAACACTTTTCTTCCTGATGTTTTTCATAAATTTTATACAAATGTTTCCTGGTATCAGACCTCTCCTTTTTATATTTTATTGATTTTTTATAAGCTTTCTGCATTCTGTCTGTTTTTTGTATAGCTTTAAGTTCTTTTTCAGCAGCAGACCCAGGACTGATTTCTGCCCCAAGTTGCTTACAGATCACTAGGAGAGACTCACCAGGACCAAGATTTACACTATGAATAGCTGAATGGACACGACCTTCAAAGTTTTTTGTATAGGTAACATTTTTTGGTAGTGATCTACGCAGTGATCTGTTAAATCCCTCGACTTTTTGAGTATTTAGGTTCAATCTCGTCTTTTTTAAAGCGCTCGGACTGAGACAATATAACACACACTTTCTTATGGCATTCAAGTTTTAGTCCAATTTTCTGATTTTAAAACTGTTCGGTAAGAAAGCTCTGTTGGACAACCAGAACTTTTTTCCACCCTTGCAAACAAAGGAATGCCTATGGCAAAGTTCATGATTGCCTGTGTAACATGCAGGTATGGCATCAACGGTGAAAGAGATTTTATTCTTCACTTTGACAAAGTCACCGCCATATTTTTCCATGGCCTGGGTAAACTCCGACTGACATCTCTCAGCTAAATCCAGAGCAAAATTGTTCAAAAGCTTTTCACGGTCTTTTTTAGTTCTGCCGGGCATTATTTCTCCCAATTCTTTATTATTCTTGATGTTTTTCTGTGATTATTTAAAAAATGCCTGGTATCTAGAAAATGTTCTGGCTCTGTAGATGTTGTATTTTCAAGATACAAGTCATCTGCTGCTCTATAAGCAGAGCTATCTGGATCTGTTGTTAAATGTTTAGCTTCAATACCATCACTTGCAAGATCTTGCAGAGCTTCTTTTGCCCATGTGTACTCATCTCCTATGCTTTTCATGAATGTTAAATTTGAACTACATGCAGAAGTGCACTTTTCACCTGATCTGATTGGATGAACTGAACAAAGTTTATTTTGCAAACAACTCCTATAATGCTTTTATCTTCTGTTTCAGCTTCTGCAACAGAATACACCACTTGTGTAGCAGGCTGGAATGGGGTTTTTCCAATGCCGGAATATATTGCATTGTTGTATGCACCGTCAGCCTGTAGACTTACAGAACCAGGATCTTTTCTTCCTCTGAGTGTATTAATTTCAATCAGCTGCTTGCGTCGCGCTTTCATGTCTTTCTTATTTATATTTACTATTTCAGGTAGCACTTTATTTGCACTCTTTTGTAGTCCTGAAGTGGATGGAGCTGGCATGTTACAGCCAAGTACTATTTTCCTCAAACCAGTATATCCAAGTGGTGTTTGACTTAATGCTGCTTGGGCGGATACATTTATCTTGGCTGCCTTCCTTCCTGGTTTTTTGGTTTGCACTTCTTGATAGAGTTTGAACTTTCTCGATCGATAGGTGCATTTGTCACACATTGCCTCTTCACGATTAACAAATCCAAACTTTTCTTCTCTTTCCATATTCCACTGTAAAAATCCATTACAATTGGGATGAAGTCTTTGGTGTTCTCCAAATACAGAGTTCCACATTATTGCATTCAGTCTCACATTTACTGTTCTATTAGATGAATCTTCAGACCTAACATTTAATAGAAAAGAATGCCATAAGAGAGTGTTTTTCTACCTGTAACAGTAGTTTCTAAATGTACTTAAAAATATTTGTGAATTACCTCCCTTTGATCACAATTTTTTTTTGGCACAAATATAAAATAGAATTTCTTGGTATTATGAAGCTAAGCAGGTTGAAGTATCAATATTTTCTTTAAGTTAAGCATATATTTTATTAATTCAAGAAGGAACGACAACAACAAAATATTATTTCAAGGGAAATTTCTAGATTTAAAGAACTGATAGGCATTTTCAATCCGCTTTCAGAAAAATAATTTAAAATAGAGTTAAATAATACCTATGTTCATATTAACTGGTATTTCGATATTTTATGTTATTCCTTTAATTATCATTTAACCTACCTTTGATTTTTCTTTGCTGATTTCATTGTTTTTTTAATTTTAGGAGCAGCATCCCTTGGTCGCAACAGAACAGCAGGTTTGGTGTCATTTATAGATTGAGTATCGGTATCCTTATATGGAATAATTTGCACAAGAGAAGTCATTTTTCTGGTAAGTCTTTTATAAACTGTTTGTGTTGTGTCACTTTTACTTGGTTTTACAGTTTTTCTTTGTCTATTGTAAGGCACAGTTCCAGTTGGAAAACCTGAATTATTTCCCTTTCTGAACTTGGTCATTTTAATATGTAGAATTTATTTGTAATCCGTGAATGTAACTGTTTAAGGAAAAAGTTTGTGAAAGTTTGGGATTCTGTCTTTACTTTTATATTGGAAATTTGGTTAAAATTTGCATCTTTAATTTGAAAGAAAGGCACCAAACAGAACTCTCATAAAAAATTCTCATAAACAGAGAGAGATAGCAGTACAGATATAAATTTTTAATTCTTACAGCTGCAGTGACAGATATGATAAGATAATTGATTCATCATCTCTGGTCACTGTCTTATCTGTTTGGTGTAAGGTTATGGTTTTTGAGTGCATTAAGTTGTTTCAGATTAAACTTTTAATACTTCAAAATTAAGAAAATTGTCATTTTTTCCTGTAGTTTTCAATTCTTGGGTAGAATCTACCCCAATTATCTGACAGCTGATGTTAGTGTTTTATGTGAAAGTCATATCCACTAGTCTATTGATAAAACACACAGACTTATTGCTTTTGTATATTTAATAAGAAAATAAATAAGTTTTATTTGGCAAAAAATACAACTCTCAGCTTCACATTTCCTCTGCCGTCATTTGGGGTACATGTTGAACTTTTCTTTTTTCTTCGCTTGTAAGTGATCGACATCTTTTGCCTACAACTTTTCCATTACTAGATATAACAAATATTCATTTGGCCTAAAATTTGCTAGATTCTGGGCCCTTTTTTTGATTCTATAGGTTACAATCTACCATTAGCTCTTTTGGGACCAGTCGAAAATGAGCATAACATGGTATTCAGAAACAAAAACATGGCAGATTTTGATTGGGTGGAGTATGCCACAAATAATAATTTTTTTTCCTGAAACCTTATGGATTCTTGGTTGTAGCAATGACAAAATAAAATTTGATTCCTCCTTCAGAAGTAGTTGAGAATTTGTTTTCTTCCTGTTGTTGAATGCATAAATTTTACTGTTATTTTTGTGCGAGATTGACGGTCACCCTTGACAACTGTAAATTACACCTAGAAAAGCAACGCGACCATATCATTTTTTTTTATAAAAAATGTTAACACAATAAATATTCTTTATTTTAAAAAAGGTTTTATAATAAAAATCAACTCAATAAAATCAGTACAGCAAGAAACATTACTATTGTCGGCAATGGAAAAATCAATTGTTTTTTACATTCTATATTGGGATGAAATTTACTTTCACTTTCATTTTGGAAAAGCAAGTTGCTGAATCAGACTTCTTTTAAAACGTTTTTGTGATTGTGTCAGCATCATGGAGGACTTTCATAAAGATTTAGAGGAGAGATTTCTAAAAAAAACAAAAAAAATGGGCAATATTCATGGTTGTGTAGCATGGGACGGCTATGTTGATAAATTAGGATACGGTGTCATGAATGTAAACTGGCCAAGGGAGGGTGCAAAAAAAGAAAGAGCACACAGACTAGCATATATGATTAAGGAAAGAATAAGCCACAATGATATGCCAAGACTTGATGAAAACAACAACCGCATAGAATGTAGTCACTTGTGCCATAATAAGACCTGTGTCAATTCAGAGCATATTAAACTTGAGTCCCATGCTACAAACCAGGAACGTATTCATCGTAAAGGGCAAAATTTATGTGCAAAATGTCATGAACCACATTGTCTTATATGAAAGTATGCTTTATTTACAAATTAACACTTTTTTGTCACTGCAACTCGTTGTTTTTTGGCATAGGGATGGTCCTCGGCTTGCGTTTTTGTACGTTTCACTGGCCGCATAAGCTTGTTTTTCTCGTAACACTTTTCTTCCTGATGTTTTTCATAAATTTTATACAAATGTTTCCTAGTATCAGACCTCTCCTTTTTATATTTTATTGATTTTTTATAAGCTTTCTGCATTCTGTCTGTTTTTTGTATAGCTTTAAGTTCTTTTTCAGCAGCAGACCCAGGACTGATTTCTGCCCCAAGTTGCTTACAGATCACTAGGAGAGACTCACCAGGACCAAGATTTACACTATGAATAGCTGAATGGACACGACCTTCAAAGTTTTTTGTATAGGTAACATTTTTTGGTAGTGATCTACGCAGTGATCTGTTAAATCCCTCGACTTTTTGAGTATTTAGGTTCAATCTCGTCTTTTTTAAAGCGCTCGGACTGAGACAATATAACACACACTTTCTTATGGCATTCAAGTTTTAGTCCAATTTTCTGATTTTAAAACTGTTCGGTAAGAAAGCTTATTTGGACAACCAGAACTTTTTTCCACCCTTGCAAACAAAGGAATGCCTATGGCAAAGTTCATGATTGCCTGTGTAACATGCAGGTATGGCATCAACGGTGAAAGAGATTTTATTCTTCACTTTGACAAAGTCACCGCCATATTTTTCCATGGCCTGGGTAAACTCCGACTGACATCTCTCAGCTAAATCCAGAGCGAAATTGTTCAAAAGCTTTTCACGGTCTTTTTTAGTTCTGCCGGGCATTATTTCTCCCAATTCTTTATTATTCTTGATGTTTTTCTGTGATTATTTAAAAAATGCCTGGTATCTAGAAAATGTTCTGGCTCTGTAGATGTTGTATTTTCAAGATACAAGTCATCTGCTGCTCTATAAGCAGAGCTATCTGGATCTGTTGTTAAATGTTTAGCTTCAATACCATCACTTGCAAGATCTTGCAGAGCTTCTTTTGCCCATGTGTACTCATCTCCTATGCTTTTCATGAATGTTAAATTTGAACTACATGCAGAAGTGCACTTTTCACCTGATCTGATTGGATGAACTGAACAAAGTTTATTTTTGCAAACAACTCCTATAATGCTTTTATCATCTGTTTCAGCTTCTGCAACAGAATACACCACTTGTGTAGCAGGCTGGAATGGGGTTTTTCCAATGCCGGAATATATTGCATTGTTGTATGCACCGTCAGCCTGTAGACTTACAGAACCAGGATCTTTTCTTCCTCTGAGTGTATTAATTTCAATCAGCTGCTTGCGTCGCGCTTTCATGTCTTTCTTATTTATATTTACTATTTCAGGTAGCACTTTATTTGCCCTCTTTTGTAGTCCTGAAGTGGATGGAGCTGGTATGTTACAGCCAAGTACTATTTTCCTCAAACCAGTATATCCAAGTGGTGTTTGACTTAATGCTGCTTGGGCGGATACATTTATCTTGGCTGCCTTCCTTCCTGGTTTTTTGGTTTGCACTTCTTGATAGAGTTTGAACTTTCTCGATCGATAGGTGCATTTGTCACACATTGCCTCTTCACGATTAACAAATCCAAACTTTTCTTCTCTTTCCATATTCCACTGTAAAAATCCATTACAATTGGGATGAAGTCTTTGGTGTTCTCCAAATACAGAGTTCCACATTATTGCATTCAGTCTCACATTTACTGTTCTATTAGATGAATCTTCAGACCTAACATTTAATAGAAAAGAATGCCATAAGAGAGTGTTTTTCTACCTGTAACAGTAGTTTCTAAATGTACTTAAAATATTTGTGAATTACCTCCCTTTGATCACAATTTTTTTTTGGCACAAATATAAAATAGAATTTCTTGGTATTATGAAGCTAAGCAGGTTGAAGTATCAATATTTTCTTTAAGTTAAGCATATATTTTATTAATTCAAGAAGGTACGACAACAACAAAATATTATTTCAAGGGAAATTTCTAGATTTAAAGAACTGATAGGCATTTTCAATCCGCTTTCAGAAAAATAATTTAAAATAGAGTTAAATAATACCTATGTTCATATTAACTGGTATTTCGATATTTTATGTTATTCCTTTAATTATCATTTAACCTACCTTTGATTTTTCTTTGCTGATTTCATTGTTTTTTTAATTTTAGGAGCAGCATCCCTTGGTCGCAACAGAACAGCAGGTTTGGTGTCCATTATAGATTGAGTATCGGTATCCTTATATGGAATATTTTGCACAAGAGAAGTCATTTTTCTGGTAAGTCTTTTATAAACTGTTTGTGTTGTGTCACTTTTACTTGGTTTTACAGTTTTTCTTTGTCTATTGTAAGGCACAGTTCCAGTTGGAAAACCTGATTTATTTCCCTTTCTGAACTTGGTCATTTTAATATGTAGAATTTATTTGTAATCCGTGAATGTAACTGTTGAAGGAAAAAGTTTGTGAAAGTTTGGGATTCTGTCTTTACTTTTATATTGGAAATTTGGTTAAAATTTGCATCTTTAATTTGAAAGAAAGGCACCAAACAGAACTCTCATAAAAAATTCTCATAAACAGAGAGAGATAGCAGTACAGATATAAATTTTTAATTCTTACAGCTGCAGTGACAGATATGATAAGATAATTGATTCATCATCTCTGGTCACTGTCTTATCTGTTTGGTGTAAGGTTATGGTTTTTTAGTGCATTAAGTTGTTTCAGATTAAACTTTTAATACTTCAAAATTAAGAAAATTGTCATTTTTTCCTGTAGTTTTCAATTCTTGGGTAGAATCTACCCCAATTATCTGACAGCTGATGTTAGTGTTTTATGTGAAAGTCATATCCACTAGTCTATTGATAAAACACACAGACTTATTGCTTTTGTATATTTAATAAGAAAATAAATAAGTTTTATTTGGCAAAAAAATCAACTCTCAGCTTCACATTTCCTCTGCCGTCATTTGGGGTACATGTTGAACTTTTCTTTTTTCTTCGCTTGTAAGTGATCGACATCTTTTGCCTACAACTTTTCCATTACTAGATATAACAAATATTCATTTGGCCTAAAATTTGCTAGATTCTGGGCCCTTTTTTTGATTCTATATTGGGATGAAATTTACTTTCACTTTCATTTTGGAAAAGCAAGTTGCTGAATCAGACTTCTTTTAAAACGTTTTTGTGATTGTGTCAGCATCATGGAGGACTTTCATAAAGATTTAGAGGAGAGATTTCTAAAAAAAACAAAAAAAATGGGCAATATTCATGGTTGTGTAGCACGGGACGGCTATGTTGATAAATTAGGATACGGTGTCATGAATGTAAACTGGCCAAGGGAGGGTGCAAAAAAAGAAAGAGCACACAGACTAGCATATATGATTAAGGAAAGAATAAACCACAATGATATGCCAAGACTTGATGAAAACAACAACCGCATAGAATGTAGTCACTTGTGCCATAATAAGACCTGTGTCAATTCAGAGCATATTAAACTTGAGTCCCATGCTACAAACCAGGAACGTATTCATTGTAAAGGGCAAAATTTATGTGCAAAATGTCATGAACCACATTGTCTTATATGAAAGTATGCTTTATTTACAAATTAACACTTTTTTGTCACTGCAACTCGTTGTTTTTTGGCATAGGGATGGTCCTCGGCTTGTGTTTTTGTACGTTTCACTGGCCGCATAAGCTTGTTTTTCTCGTAACACTTTTCTTCCTGATGTTTTTCATAAATTTTATACAAATGTTTCCTAGTATCAGACCTCTCCTTTTTATATTTTATTGATTTTTTATAAGCTTTCTGCATTCTGTCTGTTTTTTGTATAGCTTTAAGTTCTTTTTCAGCAGCAGACCCAGGACTGATTTCTGCCCCAAGTTGCTTACAGATCACTAGGAGAGACTCACCAGGACCAAGATTTACACTATGAATAGCTGAATGGACACGACCTTCAAAGTTTTTTGTATAGGTAACATTTTTTGGTAGTGATCTACGCAGTGATCTGTTAAATCCCTCGACTTTTTGAGTATTTAGGTTCAATCTCGTCTTTTTTAAAGCGCTCGGACTGAGACAATATAACACACACTTTCTTATGGCATTCAAGTTTTAGTCCAATTTTCTGATTTTAAAACTGTTCGGTAAGAAAGCTCTGTTGGACAACCAGAACTTTTTTCCACCCTTGCAAACAAAGGAATGCCTATGGCAAAGTTCATGATTGCCTGTGTAACATGCAGGTATGGCATCAACGGTGAAAGAGATTTTATTCTTCACTTTGACAAAGTCACCGCCATATTTTTCCATGGCCTGGGTAAACTCCGACTGACATCTCTCAGCTAAATCCAGAGCGAAATTGTTCAAAAGCTTTTCACGGTCTTTTTTAGTTCTGCCGGGCATTATTTCTCCCAATTCTTTATTATTCTTGATGTTTTTCTGTGATTATTTAAAAAATGCCTGGTATCTAGAAAATGTTCTGGCTCTGTAGATGTTGTATTTTCAAGATACAAGTCATCTGCTGCTCTATAAGCAGAGCTATCTGGATCTGTTGTTAAATGTTTAGCTTCAATACCATCACTTGCAAGATCTTGCAGAGCTTCTTTTGCCCATGTGTACTCATCTCCTATGCTTTTCATGAATGTTAAATTTGAACTACATGCAGAAGTGCACTTTTCACCTGATCTGATTGGATGAACTGAACAAAGTTTATTTTTGCAAACAACTCCTATAATGCTTTTATCTTCTGTTTCAGCTTCTGCAACAGAATACACCACTTGTGTAGCAGGCTGGAATGGGGTTTTTCCAATGCTGGAATATATTGCATTGTTGTATGCACCGTCAGCCTGTAGACTTACAGAACCAGGATCTTTTCTTCCTCTGAGTGTATTAATTTCAATCAGCTGCTTGCGTCGCGCTTTCATGTCTTTCTTATTTATATTTACTATTTCAGGTAGCACTTTATTTGCCCTCTTTTGTAGTCCTGAAGTGGATGGAGCTGGCATGTTACAGCCAAGTACTATTTTCCTCAAACCAGTATATCCAAGTGGTGTTTGACTTAATGCTGCTTGGGCGGATACATTTATCTTGGCTGCCTTCCTTCCTGGTTTTTTGGTTTGCACTTCTTCATAGAGTTTGAACTTTCTCGATCGATAGGTGCATTTGTCACACATTGCCTCTTCACGATTAACAAATCCAAACTTTTCTTCTCTTTCCATATTCCACTGTAAAAATCCATTACAATTGGGATGAAGTCTTTGGTGTTCTCCAAATACAGAGTTCCACATTATTGCATTCAGTCTCACATTTACTGTTCTATTAGATGAATCTTCAGACCTAACATTTAATAGAAAAGAATGCCATAAGAGAGTGTTTTTCTACCTGTAACAGTAG